CTAGGTAGAGGACCCAGATAATCGATTGCTATATCAATCCACGGTTTAGCTGGCAGTTCTCGCCGTTTCATAGGATTGGGCAGAGCTGGTGTCGAAACTAAAATACAGCCCTTGCATGTTCTCACTAATTTTTCCGCGTCATTGTCAATTTTGGGCCACCATACCTTCGTTCTTAGTCTGGCTTTCATGGCTGAGATTCCTGGGTGACCTTCGTGGGCTGCTAAAAGAACGTTTTGTCGTAACTTCTTTGGTATCACCAGTTTACTTCCCCTTAACAATATACCGTCGTGAAAGCATATTTCCGAGTGAAAAATTTTGTACACGCTCACTGATTTATCCCAATCACCATCGAATAATCCCTTCTTGACCTTACCAATTTCTTCGTCTATTTCAGAGTGGTATTTAATTTCGGCTAGAGAGATTGCTATAGGTCTTGAGTATTCGATTAAATTGTTTATTGATTCGTCATCGTAAGGTTTGGAAACATTTTCGGGACAGAGTCTTGATAACGGGTCTGCGATGTTTGATTTTCCTGGCTTATAGATTACCTTATAATTATAGGACTGGAGACGCAAGATCCAACGCTCTATGCGGACATTTGGCTTAGATTTTGGTCCGAAAATGACTTCCAGAGGTTTGTGGTCTGTTACAAGTTCGAATTCTTTTTTACCATACAGATATACTTTGAAGTGTTCGACGGCCCATACCAGGGCCAAGGCTTCTTTTTCCATTTGGCAATATTTCTTCTCACAATTCGTCAGGCTTTTGTTCCCATACGCTATGATTCGAGGCCCTCTGTTATCGAATTGTATCAATATACATCCTAAAGCTACTGGACTAGCATCTGCGATGACTTGTGTTCTGTCTGTAGGGCTATAATATCCCAATGATTTTATGTGTGTTAGGCTCTGTTTGATTGTTTGGAATGCATGCTGCTGTTCTGTCTTCCAGTATTTTCCAATATCTGCGTTTTTTCCGAGTTTATTTCTCAATATCTGCCTAAATGGTTCTGTTAACGTCCCTAAATTTGGTATCCACTTGCCTATGTAGTTAACCAGACCTAAGAAACTTTGAATTTCGTCGATCGTTTTTGGTGCTCTGAAGGTTTTTATAACTCCTACATAGCTGTCCAGGGGTTTTATTCCATCAGCTGATAAAGTGTGACCCAAAAACTGTACCTTTTTGACCCCAAATATACATTTATCTTCGTTCAATAAGACATCATTCTCCTTAAGTGTTTTCAGTGTTCTTCGTAATCTTGAATTGTGTTCATTTTCATCTCTTCCAAATATTAGTATATCATCTATAAAGTTGACGGTACCTTCGCATTTGATGAGTATACGTTCTAATGTTTTTTGAAAAATTTCCGGTGCACAGGAAATTCCGAACATCAATCTTTTATAACGGAAAAGACCTTTGTTGCTGATGAACGTGGTGATGAATCTTGAATCTGGTGATATCTCTAACTGATGAAACGCATTTTTTATGTCTAATCTGGAAAAAATTTGTGCCTTGTTGAATTTTGGGAGAAGTTCATTCATGGTGGGAAGTGGATAGTTTTCTCGAATTATCGCTTTATTTGCAGCTCTCATGTCTACGCAAATTCTAACATCCCCGTTACCTTTCAGAACCGGAACCAATGGTGAAACCCATCGTGATGGACCTACCACCTCTTCGATTATGTCTGAATTCAACAATTCCTCCAGTTTAGCATTTACCTTCGCTTCGAGGGGAATGGGTATCCTCCTGTATGGTTGGCAGATTGCTTTAATACTGTCGTCGAATGGAATATCGACTAAGACATTTTTGAACTTTGGAAACATGGATATGTTGTTCACCAATTCTAACCCAATCTTCAAAATGCCTAGAGCTTTCGATGTATTTTTCCCCAGTAAATTGTTTGTTCCACCTTCTATAACATAGAATGTAGCAATTTCGCTGTTATTATGAACACTTATTTTGGCCTCAAATGATCCTAATATAGTTAAAGGAGTTCTGCTTCCATATGCCATGAATGTTTTATTTGATTCTTTTTCTTGTTTCATGACCTGCGCCCCATGTTTCTTCATGTATTTCCAAGTTGTATCTGTAATGAGATTACTTTTACTTCCCGAATCGATCAACATCTTTGTGTCCACTCCTCCCAATGAACAGATGATGGTTTCGTCCTCATCGATGTGGAAAACATAATCGATTTCATTTTCCGAATGAGAGTCTTCTTCGATCGCGTGTACCCCTGTCGACTTCCGCTTTTTACCTCTCGGATGATTATAGTTTTTCTCTTCCATTTTTCGTATCGAACTCTCTGACTTTGATTCTCGTGTTCTACAAAAATTTGCAAAATGTCCAATAGCATTACATTTATTACAAGTTTGTCGCCTGGCTGGGCATTTTGAATCATTAGGTGCATGATTATTACGGCCGCATCTAGTACAATTTCGTTTAAACTTGCCCTTGGGCCTAGAAAATAATGCATTCACCTGATTGTTAGTCCCAGAAGAACCCGCTGTATCTTCCACGGTGAATCCACCTAGCTCTCGATTGACCGTCTCTAAGGAAGTGGCTTCGTTTATCACTCTCTCTAGAGTGATAGAGTCCCCTGCCGCTAGTATTCTTTTACGCAGCTCCACCGAATTACCTTTTTCCACGATTTGATCAATCAAATTTTCGTCTATGTTGGTGAATTTACATTTTTCGGCCTGATTCCGGAGCCTCAATAGAAATTTTCCAAACCCTTCTCCTTCCTCTTGCTTCATGAGTCGGAAGACGTGCCTTTCATAGACCTTGCTATGTTTGGGTAGGAAATATCCATCCAGTTTAGAGATTGCTGAATCATACACATCTGCTTCCTCGTTTTGGTCAATACCTGCTTCTGGAAGATTATAAAATATCTCCTGCAGCCCCTGACCACCAAAGTGTAGCAAATTTGCTCGTTTTTTGTTCGAGTCTTCCATCCCCGTGGCTTCGATATAAATTGAGAATGCTCTCTTCCATTTCTCCCATCGTAGGCCTACAGAACGTATATCTCCCTCGACGTCCAATTGACCCAAACTAGCGTAGTTCGCATTCATGTTACCTAAAACTATATTTCATTTCATTGTCATTTTATTATTTCTGCTATTATTATTATCATTAATATCATTTTCAGTGGTAAAGAACATCAAGATCCTATAGGTTATAAGTGCCCCTACTCACTATCGGCTTTGTCTGAGTTCAGGCTTCTCCAATATGTTCTGATTTGTTACAATCCGCTTGGTATGAATACGGGTTAATACCCAGGCTTTTGGTGCTCAGAACTGACGTTCTCTCGAGCGTTCTTTACAGCTTTGTTTTGGTCTGTGACCCTTAGACAATTTGTCTATTCGAGCGTATGCTCAGGCCTGTGGCCAGCTGGACTAACCGTCCTTTGAACCTTTGTTCAGGTCTGTGACCCTTAGACAATTTGTCTATTCGAGCTGGTGCTCAGGCCTGTGGCCAACTGGACTCAACGTCCTTCGAACCTTTGTTCAGGTCTGTGACCCTTAGACAATTTGTCTATTCGAGCGTATGCTCAGGCCTGTGGCCAACTGAACTCCACGTCCTTCGAACCTTTGTTCAGGTCTGTGACCTTTAAGATTGCAATTTGTTATCTGTACTTACGATTTTTTCAGCACTATCCTTCCTTTTTAATCCTCGTCGCCACTGTATTATGTTTAAACACGGGATATAAGGCACGTTGGAATAAAACAACTTTTAACTTCACTCACTGACTGTCACACAACGACTGACTCAACCCCCGATCATCCAAGTCGTTATCACCCGATGAGTCAGTAGTGTGTGCATCATTCCTTTATTAGCTAATCTGCATACTACAGTATACCAGAAATAGACAATTATTAGCGTGCTCCAATTATTATACAAATTTAGGTAAAAATTCTCCAAGGACCAGAATGTGTGATTTATTCAACAAATATTGCAATGATGTGAACATTTTTTCCATATCTTTATATTCCTTCAAAAGAATAACAAAAAATATTTTTATTTCCTAATATCACGATGATGAGTAATTATTATTCAAATGACTATTTTTCCCGTATCGTATATATGATTGTCATTTTCATACCTCCTATGTAATTAGGTGTATTTTTGTATTTTTGTATTTGTTTAAACATGAATGTTAGCTCTGTAACGGATTGTATTAGTGGATACTTGTATGGGTAACAAGCTGTTAGTATCCCAAATTTCGAATAAATAAATAAATGTATTCTTCAACTCCAAGGAGAGATGCTGTCATTCAATCTCGAACACTTTACTACAAGTTGATCAATGTGTTGTGCTCTGTATATGAACAATATAGGATTTCATACAATAAAGGTCACAATAACTTATCCAAGAGAAAATCTCTGATATTTGAGCTTCAAATAAGAATATTTCTGGTCATTAGTACAAATGACCACATTTTTCGAAAACAAAACAATTTTTGTCTGGATAATCAGTAATGGTAGGTACTGTTCTATCGTATCACTTGTACAGTTGATTTATCTACATTTCAAATGAGTTTCTCATACTGCAGGTACTGTTTTTCATTGTACATAATCGTATACAGATATTCAGTCAGTGTCATTTTTTTGGGAAAATTCTTAACAGTCGATTACTTTGAACCGTCGTTCATCAAGTATTCAAATCTGAATCTATTCAATTATCATATGAATTTTATTTATGGCAATAAAAATCAATTTTCAAAATAGTATAGATTGTCGGAGAAACGAGTTTTTTTCATGACTTCACTTCATTACCACAAAATACTGAACTACAAACATAATCTCATAGAGACAAGTAGTTTATATGTATCAAGTTTCATCAACTACCTATATGAAGAAATATAGGGACAATATATTCTTCATACTATTCCTTATACGGTGAATGTATTCCTCAGGAGTACAGAGTACACCTTATCTATACCTACCTACCCTTATCCTTATCACACATCGAAGCATAATATTGAGTTTCTGAATTTTCAGGTGTTGCTATATGCTTTCTCTTATGGATAGTCTGTAGCTCAGTGGTATATACGAAACACAGGCCAAGAAGAGATTTGAATATAGTACATGAATGGTCACAAATAGAATTTGATTATCATTCAGAAGTCGAGAGGCAAGCGAATATAGATAGTGGCTTTTTCAGAGATGGGACAATTGTTCCATTGGATTGTGATGTTTATTATTCAGGTAATTGAAATTTTTTTCTCGCACCAGCATATTGAACTCATTCGATTCCTTGGTACTTATATGTAAACTGTTGTTATAACCACTATTTTAGGAACCAATGAGATTCCTTCAATTTCCTGAAACCGACCTATCATCGGGCATTTGTAGTGATAAAAAGCTACCTACCTAGCTTTCCCAATAACCGATAAAAATGCATCTTGCTTTCAATTAACAAACTTTCATACTTTGACAACAACTGTCACCGTCGCTAATGTTAGTAGTAAGACAAAGAGAGCCACAGCTCACATAGGGCTTTACCTATTGGGACTTCTAGATCATGATCTAGAGTTCCCAATAGGTAAAACCCTATGTGAGTTGGAATTCTACTTTTTCACAAAATGCTAACATGTAAACCCCTATGTGAGTTCGTAACCTAAAGAGAGAACTAAATCACATAGGCCTTTCAGTACTTGTACTTGATTTAGAAATCGAAGTACTGAAAACCCTATGTGAGTTGGAATTCTACTTTTTCACAAAATGCTAACATGTAAACCCCTATGTGAGTTCGTAACCTAAAGAGAGAACTAAATCACATAGGCCTTTCAGTACTTGTACTTGATTTAGAAATCGAAGTACTGAAAACCCTATGTGAGTTGGAATTCTACTTTTTCCCAAAACGCTAACATGTAAACACCCGTATGTGAGTTGGTAACCTGAAGAGAGGGACAGATCACATAGGGCGTTACTTCAACTCATGATCTAGAGTTCCCAATAGGTAAAACCCTATGTGAGTTGGAATTCTACTTTTTCAATAGGTGAAGTTCTATGTGATTTCGTAATGTGAATATTGTCTGTTTTTCAATGAATTGCGAGAAGGTCTTAACGGTGTCGAAGGATCACCCTGTGATTCCGGATCGCCCTGTACACGGCGATTCTGGTCGCGCAAATTAGCATTATGCGCCATTAACTCCGATATTACTGCAATCTATAAAAATGTGCACTTATTGCACAAACAGAGAAATAGACCTAATAAGACTGATAAGAAATTTCTGGAAAAACAAATTAGCGATATAATGATTTGGGTCAGTAAGTATTGCTGATTAGTTATTATCCTTAAAAAAATGTGTACGAAAAGATAATCAAAATAGGGTCCATATATAAACGAATTTCCATGTTATATTATACATTTCATTTTGAATATTATCTAGTAAAATTATTATTATTATTATTTTTAGTGCAGCTATAACATGGGTAAGTTGAAAATATTCCTGTACCTAATAAAAAAATAAACAATGTTCAAATTTTCCCAGAAGAGATACCAATAGAAGCAATTAAGAATATGCTACCTGGTCATTTAAGAGTGAGTATATTTTATTCATTTATTTCCATTTCATATTGATTTCTCTCAGGAACCAGGAATCTTTTTTGATATCAGTGTTTTGGAGACAAAGCATGAGGATATTACGGGAGAAATTGTAAATTTTTGTGAGGATCAATAATTATCAATAAATAATCAAAATAATATTCAACCTCATAGTACGGACCCATGTAAAAAATTATTCTATTTGCTTAATAGTTTTTTGATTGATATTTTGTCCGCATTCCCTACAATGATAATTGTTTTCGTGAAATACAAAATGAATTTCATCAGAATTCATCAAATTATTTCGGTACCAAACAATTCAGCATTATCAAGTGAATTCTGTGTCTTTTTTAGAACAAACCGATCCTCTTGCTACAAGGGAGGATCTTGGGGGGATCAAGTGCCCCGCCAGGATTAATTAACGTTGGCAATGTGGGGCCCTATACAATATTTTACATGGAGGAGCAGGATGCCCTACTAGTATGGGCAATATCGGTAAACAACATAATTTGTTCTCGATTGTTTTCATTTTTAATTCAAATTTTGTTTCAGTTTACGGAAGACGAATAATTTTTTTTGTGTGTTATAAGGTAATTTCTCATGCCTTAATCGATTTGCATTCCTCTGATTTATTTCGTTTGTTTCAGGTTTGAATAAAAATATCTAGTTATATGATGATTTCTTTCATACAATATTATATACCCACAACAATACACTCGAATGGGTTTGTTACTACCCCACTGGTAATTTTTGACATCATTTAAAAGGAACTGTGGCATGAAATAGCTTGGAAGTATCGGTGAGTTCTTTCCAAAATATAGTCTTTGTGCTTATTTCAAATTCTGACATACAGGGTGATTCAGGAAGAATATACCAAATTCTATAGGAGTGTATTCGACTCATGGAAATTATTTTAGAAACTATAAATGTTCCAATTTTCATTTGTTTCCAACAAAGAGAATGATACACTGGGATCATTGGATAAACTCTGATAGGTTCAACAAATATACCACAAATTAAATGTTAACAATAATGTTTTTGAATAATTTTTTTTGTAGAATACTCACCTAGAGTTTGATCATCCTGACAGATCCTGTTTATTTCTGAACAATTTCTATGCACTGCAATCTCGTTGCACATTCATTCAGACACATCCTGTATATTTCGGAACATTTTCTATGCACTGACAAAAGATTTGTCCAATTATATTTCGCAGGTCGCGCGTTTTTACTGACGCAAACTGGTACATGATACATTACGTCTAACCAGTTTTCAGTACCGGGAGTCGAGAAACCAATCTGAATGGTCCACTTGTTGAAATACAGTGACATTGGATTTGGTATGCATCCCGGGGTGCCAACGAAAACTATACTGTCCCCAACCCTGAATTAGGTCTATAATGAACGCGATCGCGATTTCAAACCGTTCGTTATTGTCGCCGCGAAAGTCTTCGGACATAACGATAAAATAGGTTAAATATGTAAATAGATACCGCTTGATACATTATGCGGGTAGCTCAATTGATATGGTATGGAAAATACACAACACATTGAAGCCAATTATAAATTAATGGGTATACAATTATCGTTGAACTTGAAAATACGTTGATTATTATTATTTATTATTTATTTAATCCAATTCATTACAATATATATCATACATACATGTTCGATACAGATATTTCTACACGTATATTCTAGATTTAAACATATGCACCTAGGTGTAACACCTGTGTGTGCATTATTTCCTAACTCATTCAAATAGCTTTCAAAGATATATTTTCTTTTCTGAAAAACTGTTATTTTCAAGTCAAAAACTAATATATAAACTAATCTCAATAAACACAAGAACAGTTTTTTTTTTCTAATTACTATACAACTACCTACCTATTTGATATCCAGACAAGTTCTGAATAAATTATAATTATTGTTTATGTAAACTCTACACATCTTAGAAAACATTTTATATTTATCAACATTTCTGATCTCAGTTGGCAGCATATTATAAATTCGGGGGGCTATATTCTTTGCAAACCTCTGAGTAGAGTCTTTCTGACAGAAAGGTACAGATAAATATTTCTTTGTAACTTGACGTGTCTTATATGCGTGAGATAAAAAATTTTGCGAACATTTGTTTTTGAACATGAATTGACAGTTACTGAGGAAATATAGCATTCTGATATTGAGTACATTGCTGTCATAGAGTAGAGCTGTCGGGTATAGCCGGTCTTTATGAAATATTATCTTTAGGATATAATTTTGTATAACATTTAACATTTAACATTTATTACATTATGAATAGAAATATTATTTTTATATCGAGAATTATTTCATTGTTGATGATAATGAATGGATGAATAATTTGTGTACACCAAAAAACGTTTTAATTTTCATCTGAGGTAATGGGAATTTTCAAAATGACTTTGGTATGCTAGAATAATGGGAATATACAACACATAATACAGGGTGATCCAATAATGAATCGGGATATTATTTTGGTATGATGGTATGGGAAGAAAACAATAATTTGTGTATGGAATGCAATTTAATTTTCTCCCAAGGTAATCGTTGCCTTCATATACATATTCTTAAATTTTAAAATGACATGCAGAATATAACACAAGAATAATATAATTAGACTACTGAATATTAGATACAAAACAATTGAATAGGTATCTGAATAATACTCTCTTGACTCACATGTTTCACGATAGATCAAATTTTGCCAGTTTTTCGTATCTCCCACAGTATTATCTTGGAATATAATTCTGTACTTATGAAAACTAGCATTTTGTGGTACATCGGTCATTAATACGGGTAGATGACCATTGTTGACTAATACTGGTAGCATTTTAGTCCAAGTTGAAGGCCAGCTGTCATTTTTCGTACCATTGTTATCGAAACAAATGAAAACTTCTCTGGCATTGTAGGGTTGATTAACATACAATATATTATGGACAAGCGTGTACAAGATTATATAAGTCGAACTTAATGTTGCCATTGTTGATGATAAACTGTATCATTTTCAACTGAACTGAGATAGATATTCTGTTGTTGAATTCTTTAAATTATGAATAATGCACTAATTATTTCTGAAAAATTTATTAAACACAATTTACATTATTTTCATTACTCTGACATAAAACTATCCTTTTGGTAGTATTGCAATTGAGATTTTGAAATCTTTTCTCGTTGTTGAAGACTTTCTGCCATTTATGAAGGTCACCTGGAGATAGATTTTCGTCCCCTGATGGTGGTTTCTTGTTGTCCAAATTCAGTACCAAATTTTTGTTTTGCTTCAACACCAATCCACTTTGCTGTTGCGCACATAGTGATACAGTCAAATTTCGAATCTGCTTGGTCATTTCGAAAATGTTGATACTTGTTTTTAACTTTTCCAAATCCTCATTATGTTTATCAATGAGATCTGAGAACATTTCTTTCTAACGGAACTTGGTGAACTGAAATTTTTCACTTTGGTACGTTACTTATTGTAAAATTTCACTGTGGTAGGAGACTTGTTATCCAGGTATGCAAATTTTTGCAATTACGTAGTGAACAATAAAATTGTTCGTCACTCACATTGTGATTCATGCACAAAGGGATGTCCGGTTTGAATGTAGTGGTCGTCATTATGTTATCGAAAGTTTCAACATTTA